AACTTACGAGCTAGATGCAGGGCAGATTTGTACCATACAACTACTCCGCCCTCAACTTTACATGGTTTCTTGACAAACTGACGACCATAGTTGATGACTGTCTGAAACATGATGTGGTTTCAACTATCTCTTAGTTTTATCTTCAAGTCGGAGGCTAACGCCACAGAGAAGGATCGCATCGCCTTTGTTGCCTGGTGGACAGCCATGGCACGACGGTTAAAAGACAGTGACTATAGAATGAGTTTTAATCTTCTCATAGAACTGGGATTTGGTGCGCGTAAAACTCATGGAATACGTTGCAAAAATAGTTATCGAAAAAGTGTCGTCAAATACACTCAAAGGACCAAAAATGTAACAGAAGCAATCTGAGCTACAGGTGGAAAGAACGCTAAGTGAATACTTATTTTGGCGTCGCCAGGAAAAAACACCAAGGAGTTATCTAAATTAGATTCAACGGTTTATCAAAATGATGCATATATGATGGCTAAGTAGCATATTTTTACTTCAGGGTCAAACTAAAAAGATAATTTGTCAGTGTACTGGAGAGGAAATGGTAGTTCTAAATGCCGAACAAATGTCAGAAATGCAATTGAAAAAGCGACTAATTCCACGAAGGAAACAGGTCTGCTGACGTATCTTAGTGCGTGTATGGCGCACGATAAGTTATTTGGTATGACAGCGGAGTCGGAAGCTATCAACTTTTCTCGTTTTTTATATATCATTACAGAGTTGCATCATGTCAACATATCATGGTCCTTTTACGCTCTGGAACACTACTACGACACCATAACGCGCGAATGGAAGAGGGGGAATCAGAACATCAAAAACCAAGCACTAAACATGCCCAGGAATTTGGAGAATATTTATGAAGTTATACCAAAATAGCCATAAAATTATAATTTACGCCAGATTAGGACAGTTATCGTCATTACACCTCAGTTGCTAGTATAGTTTATGTTTTCATAATTTTGTGGTCCAAAAAAAAAAAAGGGAAAAGAAAAGAGAAAAAAGGGAAAATGAAATACGTTTTCTGAACGGCAAACAGTTAGAGACGGTAGCATGTAAGATATGGGCTTTCACATTAGTTGTCATCTTAAATAAAATACATACATACAGGAGTTAGTGAAGAGGGCCCCCGCCAGATTGTTTCTTTACTCTTTGGTGTAGAGCCTAACTAACGATTTCATATCATGTTTTCCTAAATCATCATAAAATGGTTCAAGAACTCCGAAATGAAACATTTTCTGGAACAGCTCAATAGATAGACGTCTAAAACCTGATTTGCTTCAGCGTCAATGGATTTTCATTGATTCATCCAAGATCACTATAGTTCACTATATTTCGCATTTTATGAAATGCAGACAATCTAAACTAAAATTCAGGACTCGTCTTTAGCAAAAAGATATTTTTGGAATTACCATGACGCTATTATTGTTATTACGGAATTACGCTTCCTTTCAAGTCCTTACTATTTTTCTGTATGGAGCTTTTGCCATTTAGATTACTACAGGGATGTAATTTTTCCTTGGAATATTTAATTTGAAGAGTTAAGAGATGTGATGACATCTTGATCTCAATGACTAAGTAAGCTGTCCCTACTAACATTATATATTTACTGTTTTTCCCATTAGAACATGTTAACCAGGTGATTATATCCATCCTAGACCCACATGACAAAAGTCACTAACTTCCATTCTAGTTTTTAAAACAACCAGAAAATGACCAGATGAGCTCAGGCAGGCCGCAAACATTGGCATTTGAGTTGTCTCAAAGATTTCCTGACCAAAATTTGGCGAAAAGTTTTGCAAGATTTAACCCTGTCAACCTGTTATGGTCTGGGGACCTTGATGAAGTAAGATGTGGGCCGCAGGCCTGATTTTAGCAACACTCATTACTATAAAACGTAGTCCCCACTTCAGATGGTCTTGGATCATTAGTGCCTCGCTGCAACTGAACTGCTCCAGATCTCGGTTGCCTGATCTTCAAAAAATAAGTCAGCACCGTGACAAGTAAGTAACTTCACAATGACAAACTCTCTCTCTCTTCAAACTCATGATATTCTGCGTATGTTATTTTCTTTTATCGCTTCACTGAAAGATCCTTCAAGATCAGATTTAATGTTTATCTTTCGCGGCTTTCCAGCTTCAGGGTGGATGATCGCGCTGAAATTCAAGAACGTTTTGCGATTAGGAATCCTAGCAGGAATGAAAAAGCTAAATAATCAATTTTTACAATATTTCTGAAAGTTCTTCCTACACTACTGCAAATTCAGCTTGAAAATGAGTATTCATGCGTTAACACGGTCTTCACTTCCCGATCGTGCTTTGTTCTGAGAACGACTTAGAATGCACAATAATTTCTCAAGCATTAAGAAACTCTGTTTACTTTAACTGGGCGCTGGGTTACTTTTCAATTCAAAAATATGGTCAAAAGTCATTTCTGATTTGTTGTTAGGACCAAAAATTCAGTTTTCCCTCCGTCGGAAAAATATATCGCTTGATGGCTATAAGCCGTCTCATCAGTTTAAGTATTTGGATGCCTTGTATATACGCCATCTTGGTCCCAAAATTGAATGCATGACGTCGAAAACACAAAATCGATGAACTGCTCTCAGGCATGATTAGAACCTTCCCTTTTTGCAAAAGCTGGGAAAGGAGAGACAAACGCTATGCTTCGGTAATGGCTGCTTAAATGCCGATTTCTACGCAATAAATGGTGCTGTTCTGAAAAAACCAGAAAAATGAAAGGAAAAAAAATGGTCATCGCTTGGAATCGCTCCTGGGACCTTTCACTTGAGCGGGGTTGTACTGTCCATTGCCAAAGTTTGTAATATATTTCTATGTGATAACATGTTTCTGCTAGTAGACTGATATTGATAAAACATTTTCTTCCTTATACGCGTAAATTTTAAAATACGAAGTCCTTTCAGTGGCCTCGACGTTTCAACCCTCCGGGATAGTTCAATTTACGAGCCTAGGGGTTCGCTGCCACTTCGATTTGTTCTCTAAGTGGACATTTTGGAATTATTTCGGACTGAGTTAAGACTGAATTAAACGTTTTCGGTAACCAGGTTTTGGGTTAATTTCTATGTTTGACCAAAAATTACATTTATCTAATAAATTGGATCTGTGACAAGTAAGATTTGTCACCAAAAATTCTCAAGTAGCGATCCTCTATCGTGAAAACAATGGACATTTTTGCCTTCTGTGAACTTAACATAAAATAAGATTCCAACATTTTAGAATCTATTGCCCTTTGGCCAACCTGTTATGGCCACAGGTCTTGATGAGGTCGGACGCTGGGGCCGCGGGCCTAAATTTAGTAACACCTATTTCCTTAAAACGTAGCTCATCTTAGATGGTCTTAGATCATTAGTGCCTCGGCAGCTGAGCAATTTCAGACCTCAGGGGGTAAGTTTCTTAAGAAACATAGTATGGTGTTGTGTCGGTTGGGGGTATAACAAGATATTTAGCTTATGTAAATAGCCCTTTATTTTCAAAGCGAGTCCTGGTCCACAACTCTTCACAGGATTATAAGTTTTCATTCACATGCAAATTAAACTTATTTTCATTCGAGCACCAGGCCTCATTATGAAAAAGAGGCTAAAGGTAATTCGGAAATGGCCTATTGGCCAATGTAAGGGTTAGCCCTCCAGATCTCATTTGCTTGATCTACAAAATTATGTCAGCAGCAACACCTTGTCTAGTAGGTAACTACACTAGGGACAAACACTATCACTCTTCAAAACCATTTTTTACTTCATAGACGACTAGATTTTATCTACTATCGTACGAAATACTTGGGATTAGGGATCGAAAATGATGGTTTTGGTTGAGTATGTAGTGACAGAAATGTCTGTCATGTTCTGGTGGTTAAGTCCTATTTCAAGTCCAATAATAATAATAATATAATGATAATTATGTATCATTGTAACCGATGTTTCACGGGAAAAAAGGTCTTCAATGACTTGAAATCAGTTCTCCTCTGAACAGGGACATAAGTTGCATGTTTTTTGTCTGAAATATCTAAGCGAACACAGCCATAATTCCTCGGTTAGAGACAAAACAAACCACAAGATTCCTTTGTTTTAAAATCCCATTCTATGAATTTGATATAAACTTAAGTGTGCATAAAAACAAGCCACACGCCTCGGATACTTGCTAATTTCATGAAGAATAGTCGATAATGGCGGATGTCACGCTAAAGTTAATTCAACAAAGCTCAACTTTCAAGCTTTAGTACTATCTTGGAGTAATTGTTTCAAAAAGGATCAAGCTCCCGTGACATTAGCGATTTATTTATTTCAACCAACATAGAGCCAATTCTAAAACATACTCAGGGGTATAATTGGTATAGAATGGCAGAATTATCATGAAAACTCTTCTTCGTATTAGGCCGCACTCTCTGCCAATGCCTGAAAGATTTGGTTCATGCTTAGCGTGCGTATATCGAGTTGTGGATGCATGCAAAGGTTTGGAGGGCAATCAAGAAGCTTAAGTTGCTCTCGGCCGCGCCTCGAGCAACTATTACGCTTCCCTGGTGCTTCCCAGACCTCCTGCGTGTATTCATTACTTGTTCTACGCAAAACTAAAAGCATGACTTGGGCTGGAAGATAGAGTTTTTTTAAAATATCACTATTGTGTCGGGTTTCCCAGGTAATCGAGATCTACCCGAAAACTATGACTTAATGATAAGGCAAAAACGACCAAGAAATATTTAAGACCAAAAATGTATTTAAAGAAATTTAAATATGATGAGAAAAAGCTGAAAGAGAAAAACGCATCATTTGCATGTACAAGACCGCGTCGTAGATTCAGCATGCTTGAATCGTTGTTTACTAGCATTCACGGCCACTAAATTGTGTAGGTTTGTGATGAAAATTCTGAATTTGTGCGATTTCAAATTAATATCATCTATTTAACAATATTTTTAGGGCACAGCAAGATTTAAAAGCAATACTCACCAAAAAAAAAAAACAAAAAAACAAAACAAAGCGCAAAACGCACGAGTTTATTGTCTTTACGAGACCCTCCAAGTTGATTCGCCTTACTCGAATTTGTGTTTACTAGAAGTTACGATTCGAAAATATTCCATTTCACAGTTGTGTGCTTGGTTGCCAAGCCTTTGAACAGGAATGAAGCTGTAAGGGTGACCTTGTTATGATACAGACCTTCCTGCTTTACAAATGCAAATTACTTTGTTATCATGCTAACTAGATACTGGTCTCTATCACAGCAAGGTCACCTTCAGCCTCACTCCAAATAAAAGGCTTGGCCTAGTACACAACTGTAAAATGGCCTATTGCAAGGCTTTGCGCTGAAATTCGTGAAAAATGTACGATTTTAGTCAAAATCTCCTATTGAAAATTACTTTTGGGGCATGTCAACACTTAAAAATTATGTTTACCGTTCTAAAGAATTGGTCCCTACGTCGCAAAGCCTCACTTGAAGTCAGAGAGATGACTTACATTCTCATAAGTTTTGTTTAGTATATCTGCTTTTCAAAAGGTCTATCTCAATCAAGGAGGAAAGGAAACAAAATTTTGAAAGGTTTGAAACCTCGTGGCTGTACTCAACGGGCACTTGCAGCTAAAATAAGGTGAAACTGCACACGTCGTGTTATGGATGCATGGCAGTGCGTATATAAGGATTTTTTTACCATATAGTAGCTCCTTAGGAATTACGTAGGACTTGCCCTCTTGATATGTTATAAGAAAGAATTGGCTCATGCTTAGCGTGCGTATATCGAGTTATGAATGTACGCGGGAAGTTTGGAAAGCACGAGATAAGCGTAAGAGTTACTCTCGGCTACGCCCCGTGCAACTTTAGCTTCTTGAGTGCTCTCTGAACTTTCCAAGTGCATCCATAACTCGATATACGCATAACTAAAAGCATGAACCAGCTCTTTTATAATATAACGGACTCAACCCGTGCTTGAAGAAAGAGTTTTATTCTTATTGTGTCGGGTTTTACCACTTAATCGCGATCCGGCTCAAAAACTATGAATAAAAGAAAAGACAAAAAGACCAAGAAAATTTTATTTCAAGAATGTAAATTTGCTTAGGAAGCTAAAAACGAACGAATTTCTTACATGCTTAAGACTGCGTAGTAGATTCAGTATGCTTTGTTTAATAGAACTTCGGCCAGTAAATTGCGTAAGTTTGTGATGGAAATTGTGAATTTGTACGAGTCTAAAATTAAAATATCCCATTGAATTCTGCTTAAGGGTATATCAACATTTTAAAATAATATTCACCGTTTGAAAAACGAAGCGAAAAACGTACGAACTTCTTGCGTTTACGAGACCCGTGTCATATGTTATAATAATTGCTTCTTCGCTTAGCAGTCCTATGGCTCACCAAACGACACTTTCCTCTCGGACATAAGGTCTTAAATATATCTCTCAAATTCCCCTATACAGATCGACAGGAATCTACGAAAGAAAACAACATGTTCGGATCATTGGTCCTGTTACCTTCAGCTTTCCTGCTGTTTATGGTTTTCATAACCGGGGAAACAGGTGGGTCCATCGACAATTTTTAATTAAAATGTGACGTGAATAGTTTCTTTAACAAAGATATAGAGAAGCCTTGACTGTGCTTTGTTCTGTTGTAAAGCACGTAGAAAGCAACTGGAGCACGAAAGAAGAGCAGGGAGAAACACTAATGGTAGTCGAGTGTTTCTCCCCACTTCTTGAGTGCTTCTTGAGTCAAGACTTCTCCATTTCTTTTATAGTAAAGAATCCGTTTAGTTCCCCACGCATTACATTCAATTTTCAGAGCAGAGTTTATTTCTAAAGCCAACAATAGTGTCGTAAGCTTGCTCTATACTCTCATAAAGCACGCAACAATAAGCCAATCACAATCCTCGTTAGAATGGATCAAATAAACTGATTGGTCGCATATCTGCAATAATTCACAAATTGAAATAGTTCGGCAGGTCGAATTGAACACTTTTTCCTGAAGTTTTCAGTTTTAATACAGAATCTTAAAGTGAAATGTGCAGTGAGATTCAGTGGAATTGTGGCTCATAAAAAACACCCCTTTTTTTCATGACAATTGGAAAACAAATTGCTAAAATCATGTGTTTTATGAATGAACAACAACCGAATTCACAGGAATAGGGGTAGACTTCTTTTCTAACCACAAAGCTTGCGTTTTCCTTATCCAAATTGAAGAAAGCCTAATGATAATGATGTTTTTTTTTGCCTTCATTGTGCAGGCTAAACTTTCTCTTGAGCTTCATTGTGATTTCAGCTTGGATTCCTTGTATCACCACGCTCATTAATTCGTTCGCACTCGCCGGTTGTTCGCGCTTTTTGACCGGTTTATTGAGAATCAGCGACTTGATTTTCAAATGTATAGGTCCCTCTCGGTGCCAATCCACTTACGAAAGTTAAACACTCGAAAGTTAAAAAAGCACCCGCTCCACGGCTGATGAGTTTTGGTTTATCACGTTATAGAACCCAGGAAAATCCGTTCGCTTGAGTAATCTCTCGCTCAAGATTAGTCAATGGCGAATATACAAACAGGTTATGGCGAGTAATAAGGAAATTACCTGTTTTACCCTCTCGTAATTCAAGCTTTTCAAGCTAGATAATGCACGATAATTTCTGAATTGCTAAAAAAAATCAATCTTGGTTTGTTTGCCACAGCTATTATTGAAAATGCTGGTAAATTCAGACAACTCATTGGAACACTTTTAGTCAAAAAGAAATGTTTTTTTTGCTGTCGTGTCACAAGTGGGTGACAAAGAGAAATTCCAAATCTTCAAAGAGTCAAACCTTTTACCTGCGGATTCCGCACCCTGATGCTTGAGATCAAATTTTTAAAACAAATTGAGTGTTTTTGTCTGGTTTGGGGTATTTTTAAAAATTGAAATTGTTTCTTAAACGACGTTTCGATGTGTACCTTGTCTTCTCTCGGTATAGTACTAAAAGTCAATATTGGGGATCGTTGTTTTTGCTTGGTGAACGAACTCTGAGGCATACCGAACATACAATAACATTCTATCTAATGCTCTCGGTCGATTCAATTTTTTTGCAGTAGTGAACGTGAATAATCCCATTTCTCCGAAAGAGTACCAAGCTAAGATTCGAGCAGGATTTTCCACAAATTGGTTCAAATCAAAGTCGCCACAGAAAAAGTACTCGGAACAGAACATCATAGACGTCCACGAGAAAGGCTTTAGTAACTTAAGGCTTCGATGCAGGGCAGATCTATATTCATACAACTACTCCGCTGTCAACTTCACATGGTTTCTTGGCAACCTGACGACTGTTGTCGACTATTGTCTGAAACACGATGTGATTCCAATCATCTCCTGGATTCACCATCAAGCAGAGGCCTGCACCTTACGTGGATTGGTGGACAGCGGTGGCAAAGCAGTTAAAAGACAAGGACTACAGACTGAGTTTTAATCTTTTTACAGAACTTGGAAAAGACACTTGTAAACGAAACAACAAAAGTAGCGAGAGTCTTCGCAAGAAAACCCACAAATACAACCTCTGGACCAGGAATGTGACAAAAGCGATCCGTAAAACAGGTGGGAACAACGCTCAGCGTATACTTATTTTGGGATCTCCTGAAAAAACTGCCAAGGACTTATTTAAAATCGATAAAATAATCTATAAAAATGATCCATATATGATGGCTGAGTGGCATATTTATGCATCTGGTCCAAACAAAGTGCTCGGTTCCAAGAAGTACTGGAGCGACAATGGCACTTCTGGAGGCCGAAACAATGTCAAAACAGCAATTAAACAAGCAACAGATTACACGAATAAATCTGATTTGCTGACATACCTCGGTGCGTGGATGCCGCAAGATAACGATAACGGAGTCGGAAGCTATCAACTTCGCACGGTTCTTTGTTGCCGAGCTGGGCAAAGTCAACATACCATGGTCTTTGAACGTCCTGGATCGCTACTATAACACCACAAACAAGACATGGTTGACAGGGGACCAGGAGATCCAAAAGAGAAAATTGAATATGTCCATGATTTTGGACAATATTCGTGAACTAATGCCATAAATTCTGAAAATTCTGTAGACGAATCTAGATTAGCAATCGTCTGCACATCAAATGTAACTCGAATAATTTCAGTCACCATAATACGATTGTAATTAGAATGAGGTCAAATATATTGAAAACCAAATTCAGAGGAAACTAATACTGTATCCTTCTGTTCTGTGGTCTCCAGTTTGTTTAGATCCTTTATGGCAATCCTCATCAATTACAAAATCGGTATCATCGATCATTTGGGTTGAGAACCCATGACAGAGCATAGACCTGCTCTGACTGTGGGGTTGGTGAACCGGATGGAAAAAGTACCCATTCGTTATGAGATATCGGCTATCATCTTCTTTAAATTTGTTTAGATTCCTTTCGCACTAAATTGCGTGTGAATAAGGAAGGGATCACTTGTCATACAATGCTTTACTTGAAATGGTCGATTTCAGCTCCACTGCCTAGTATGCAAAATGAACAGAAAAACCATAGCTTTTATTTGGCGGTTTGGGCCGAGCTCCCGGCACGTTATTACACACGATTACACTACCGTACCATACAGAGCCTGGAACTTTGAAAACGTTGTAGCATGTTACAACTTAAAATCTTACAGTTCTATGCGAGTGAAAAGAGTAACACTGTAAAAAGAAAGGGTAGTGCTAAGCGACAGAAATAGTTATTGCCTCAACGGAGGCTAGAAAAAAACCTGCCGGAAAAATCCTTTGGTGGAGAAAAATTAGGCGGGAGATCTGGTTAGGAACCATGGCTCGCGCTCTGAATAGCCCATCCCACAAAGGCCACGCTGCTAAAGCAGAAGCTTTTACTACCACGTACACTATGGCCTAGAATGGTCTCTCACGTGACAAACCTGTCCTATATAACTCTGATCATGTCCCATGATGCACTGACCAGGCATAGTCCTTATTGTTCTCGTATTATTAATATTTAATTTCCAGCTAATTCAAATTCAAGGTCGGAAATGACATTATCATTGTACGTGAATTCTATTTCTCAATAGAGTAAACAGATCACTTTTTGTAGGGTGGTGACACTTCCAAGTGTTCTAAACCACAGTCGGACAGAAGCTTTTGAAGTCCAGTTTAAGTTTCGTGTCCCATTTCCACGGAAACGGTAATAAGCCGTGTATTTTTGTTTTCGAAAGCCAGCAAATTCAGTCAACAACTTTGGTCCGAGTGCTCTATAATAAACTATTGACTAAACTTGCTAACTCGAGCCGTTCTGGGGGAATATTGGCCCTCAGTCGTTTTTGCACGGGCCAAAATCGGGCGAAAATTCTTCAGTGCAGCCCTCGCGCTCGGTTAGTCAGGAGTAAATATTCTGCGTTCATTTGTCTACATTTGGTAACTTGCCGATTCCACCGGCAAGCTATCAAAGGATAATTCGAGCTGGGTTCGGTACAAACTGGCTCAAGCCAAATGAGAATTGGACTCATGATGACCCACTAAGGTACTCTGGTTTATCAACTTACGAATTCGATGCAGGGCAGATTTGTACCCAAACAACTACTCCGTCCTCAATTTTACATGGTTTCTTGGCAACTTGACGACCACAGGTGATGACTGTCTGAAACGTGATATGGTTTCAATTATCTCTTAGTTTCACCGTAAGGTCGGAAGCCTACGCCACAGAGAATGATCGCACCGCTTATTTTTCCTGGTGGACAGCCGTGGCACGGCAGTTAAAGAACAGGGACTATAGACTGTCTTTTAATTTAATCTTTTCACAGAGCTGGGATTTGGCGCGTGTAAAACTCATGGAATACGTTGCAAAAATAGTCCTCGAAAAAACATCGTCAAATACACTCAATGGACTAAGAATGTAACAGAAGCAATCCGAGGCACAGGGGGAAAGAACGCTCAGCGAATACTTATTTTGGCGTCGCCAGGAAAAAATGCTCAGGAGTTATCTAAAATCGATTCAACAATTTATCAAAATGATACATATGATGGCTAAGTGGCACATTTATACTTCAGGGTCAAACAAAGGAGATAATTCGTCAGTGTACTGGAAAGGAAATGGTAGTTCTAAATGCCAAACAAATGTAAGAAATGCAATTGAAAAAGCGACTATTATAACATAGCGCGTGTGCTTACCCCATATAAGTCCTATTGAGCCGCTATGAACAAAATCTTTATTTACCCACGCCCGTGCGTAAATAAGATGACGTAAGAATTGGGCGATATTTTTCAGTGCGAACTCTCTTTGACTACCATGTTATCTGCAGGCTTTATGAAACTTCCCAGTGAGTATAGTTCTCGGTCTTCGACGAGCTATTAGAACTTTGTCTTTTCTCAGAGTTTAATTACAAAACGCTTAAAGAGATGGTTGGAGGCGCCATTCGCGATTTTGAATCAACTATTTAAAAGTAATTATGATCTCTACAAAAACACACGCTATTTAGTAGCACTCAGAGACAAGCCGTTCCTTCATATTCTGCTCCATGATTAAATTTGAGGTATACGCCATTTTTCATGGAGTGAGAAGTTATCGTCCTGTCGGCCATGGTAGTGCGCCTGCGGCTTCCCTGGCCGTGACTGATCTGGCGTTAAACTACTCAAAGCCGCCATAGCAACAGTGAAATTTCGCGTGAATGTGGATCCACAACGGGATGTAGGATCAATAACGATTCTTGTGAACGAACGAAAGGCAAAGGAATTAAAGTTTGCTGATATAAAGACGAATAAGTTCCTTTTTGTTTTGTATGTTTTTTTCTCTCTCTTGAAATGATAACAACTTTGATGTTCTGGCATAACATTGGTTCAAACTTACGTCTCACTCAGTCAATAACTTGTAAATATTTTGAACCTACAGTACTCAATTGCTTGTCGTTGTTGTTATTGTATTAATCGGGAATCTAAATTGAAAGGCTTTCTTGTACCTCTTGCTTAGACACGCAACAGTTTTGAGCCGGAAGAGGCGTGTTACAAACCTCAACCCATGCACCTCCAACTGTACTAGAGACTATGAAGACATCAAGCATCATGACAGCAAGCTTTTCTGAAAAAAGTCCTCAAAATTGAGAGAACCCCCAATTATGAGAAGGAAAAATTTTTTTCTAAAAAGTGGACGAAAAAAGTTTGTCGCAAGTTTTGATCTCTATCAAGACAGTCAAAACGACCAAGGTTATAAAGGAATATAATCTACGGTTGAAGGTCTATTTTTTCCGTTGATTTATTAAAATTAATCGATGATTTGTAAATAATTCCGCAAACAGTCGTATCTTCCCTAAAAGCAACAAATACCGAAAAAAGAGAATTTAGACTAAAATTTTTATATTTTTAAGCGCCAAGAAATTATACTCCCAACATGATGATTTATGCAGAAAACGAATGCGTCAGTACTCCTTTTAAAACGATTTATTACGATTCTTCAGCAGTTTGCATCACTCTAAATCCATGACTGAAATTTTCATACAGAGTGCAACATGCCCCAGAACACTACTAAAATTACTCTAACTTATTACTTTTTGTGACCCAGACGAAAAAAATGGCTGACACGATCTGGGCTTACTTAATGAAGTAGCTCAAATGTACCGATGCAAAGTTAACTAATAAATAGCCTTTGGCATTTCTTTACGAATGTTGTTCAAAATCTTGGCCATCTTTAACTGCTGACCTTCGATGACTTGAGTCTCTGTCCGCCATTTGCTTTTCTTGGTATCGTAATAGTTGTCCAGAACGTTCAGGGACCACGGTATGTTCTCCTTACGCAGCTCCTTAACAAAGAAACGGGCAAATTTTATGGCTTCAGTTTCTGTTATGCTTCCGTTTGCGTTATCGTGAGGCATCCAAGCACCAAGATAGGTCAGCAGACCAGTCTTGTTCGAAAAACTCGTCGCGTAGCTAATTGCTTCTTTGACATTTGCTCGGCCTCCAGATTTACCATCACCACTCCAATACTTTTGAGAATCCTTCACTTTGTTTGGCCCTGAAGCATAAAGATGCCATTCAACCATCATATATCGATCATTTTTGTAAATTTCTGGATCGATTTTAGGTAAGTCCTTGGCAGTTTTTCCTGGTGACCCAAGAATGAGTATTCGCTTTGTGTTATTTCCACCCGTACCTCGAATCGCTTTTGTTACATTTTTTGTCCACTCGTTGTATTTGTCTGTTCTCCTGCGAAGACTTTTGTCACAACTTTTCCCTTCCTCTTTACAAGTGTCAATTCCAAGTTCTGTGAAGAGATTGAAACTCAGTCTGTAGTCCCTGTCCTTTAACTGGCGTGCCACAGATGTCCACCAACCAACATAGGCGACACGATCCTTCTCTGTAGCGTAGGCTTCTGCGTGGTGGTGTATCCAGGAGATAATTGGAATCACATCGTGTTTCAGACAATCGTCGACAACGGTCGTCAGAGAGCCAAGAAACCGTTTGAATTCGACGGTGGAGAAGTTGTATGAGTACAGATCTGCCCTGCATCGAAGCCTTAAGTTACTAAAGCCTTTCTCATGGACGTCTATGATGTTCTGTTCCGAGTATTTTTTCAGTGGCGGCTTCGATTTGAACCAATTTGTGGAAAATCCTGCTCGAATCTTAGCTTGGTACTCTTTCGGAGAAATGGGATTATTCACGTTCACTACTGCAAAAAAATTGAATCGACCGAGAGCATTAGATAGAATGTTATTGTATGTTCAGTATGCCTCAGAGTTCGTTCACCAAGCAAAACAACGATCCCCAATATTGATTTTTAATACAATACCTTGAGAAGACAAGAGATACACATCGAAACGTCGTTTCTCATCAGCCGTGGGGCGGGTGCTTTTTTAACTTTCGAGTGTTCTTTTAGCATCTAAAGTGGGTTGGCACCGATTTAAAACCTTCGAAGATGTGCTCTATGGCTGTTATGGCATAACCGTTTATTAGGTTTAGGAGAGCGACCTAGACATTTATCACTTACTTTGAAAATCAATTCGCTGATTCTCAATAAACCGGTCAAAAAGCGCGAACAACCGGCGAAAAACCGGCGGGTGCGACCGAATCAATGAGCGCGGTGATACAAGGAATCCAAGCTGAAATCACGATGAAGCTCAAGAGAAAGTTTTGCCTGAACAATGAAGGCACAAAAAATATCATTACCATTAGGCTTTCTTCAATTTGGATAAGGAAAACGCAAGCTTTGTGGTAAGAAAAGAAGTGTGCCCCTATTCCTGTGAATTCGGCTGTCGTTCATTCATAAATAAATAATAATTTGAGCAATTTGTTTTCTAATTGTCATGAAAAAAAGAGGAGTTTTTTATGAGCCACAATTCGACCGAATCTCACTGCACATTTCACTTTCAGATTCAGTATTAAAACTAAAAACCTTTAGGAAAAAGTATTAAATTTGATCTGCTCTACATCGAATTCGTAAGTTACTAAACCCTTTTTTGTGGACATCTTTGATGTTCTGCTCAGAGTACTTTTCCATTGGTTTCTCTGTCTTAAACCAGTTTGTGGAAAACCCTGCCCGAATCTGACTTTGATACTTTTCAGGCGAAAGTGGCTCATCTGAAAAAGAAAACTCAAAGAACATTGAACCAGAAAATGAAGCTTTTGTTTCGGGCATTTCTTTGCTTTTTATTCGCGAGTTTGAATTCGAATTCGAATTGAGTTCGAGTTTGCACACAATATCAATATTTTTCAAAGAAAGTATCTCTATTTTCTTTTTCTAGGGAAGTAAACCTTGATACTTGCATCAAATTTTGGACAATGCAGACAAACAGAATTTTTTTCTGCGTTTGTTTCTCGATAAAACCACATTTAATTTAGCCTAATAACAGAGAATAGAAAAACTGTTTGAGGACCCACCTCGTCCACGAACCACAGATACCATAAACAGCGGGAAAAGCGATGGAAGCAGAACCAAGAATCGGGACATCTTTTGTTCGGTGAGTTCCCTTGGATCAGTTAAAAAAAACAACAATTAGAGGCAATTAAGTTGGTTAAAAATAGTCAACCACCCGCAGAGGGAGGAAAGTCTTGTAGATCTTTGGCTTTCGTAGCTCCTGTACCTTTTCGAGGGGGATTCATTTTTTCCAGAGACCAGTTGAACACAATACATGACCATTTCTCAAATAAGCGAGAAGCCAGACGCGCTCTCATTGGTCAATAGATATACTTGGTTGCAAACAAGGTTTAACTCCTTCAATCTGGGCTGTTTTTGAGGAATATTTCATTTTAGTCAGAGAGAACTTTTTCTGCGTTTACATGGGCTCGTGCTTTTCTACACACGAGGTGTATGGACGAGCCCAGTAGAAGTAAACGCTTGAGAAAAGTTACAATATCAGCAAGGAGATTATAAGGTTTATATGGGTGCGGATACATTCAACCTTCTTTAGACATACATTAGTTGACTAGTACCATGCGAAAAATTAATAAGCTATTAAGATGGCTTTTGGAAAACTCTACGTTTGAATGGAGCTATTACCTCACAGAAGTGCACAGAGTTTTCTTCACGGGCTTCTTTTTGACGGTGACGGTAAATACTGCATCAGTCGTAGTTTTCCTTCACGGCCTAATTTATATTTATACCAGGGGACCAATAATTAAGATAACTAAGAATGAAACAAAACTAAACAGAGGTTTAAAAAGCTTGAGAAATTTTTTTGTTTACTCAGTTGCTAGAAAACAAACGCGCACTACCCACATGCAAAACCTATCTTCTCATTTAAAAATAACTTGGACATCTAGATACAAATAGCTTACAATTACCACAGTAGGTTTTTTTCTAGTATATTTCACACAAAGTTCGCGCACATATCGCTTTATTCGTGACAAGCGTGATTCTGATAAGAATTAAAACGAGGCTCAATGTAGTTTTCTCTTACTTATTCTTCATAAGTGTTTTCTGAAGGGATCAAAGCCATCCATTCTACCAATAGTTTACTCCGTTCAGCCAAAATAAACATATTACTGTCATTATTTCCTGCGACATGATATCATTCCGTTCATACCGCCTAGCGAGGATTTTGCGCGACTCGTACAAAAATGTTAAAATAGGATCAAAATTTAATCCACCGAAGTTTAAAGAATGTATTGAAAAGCTTGGGAAATTCTTGTTGATTATTCAGTTGCTCGGCAAAAACATATGCTATGTATTGAAAGATGATTAAACTTTCATCAAATGAAGGTCAACACGAGTATTGTAAGGCATGGGAAATTTTTGCGCTAGCTCAGTTGCACAACAACCAAAAATTCAGCTATTGAAAATTGGATTGATTCATAATTAAATGACAGTCAACACATGTGTTGCAAGGCTTGGGAAAATTATTGCATTATCTCAGCTGCAAAACTTGTGATTTCAAAGCGAACTTGCTGCGCTCTCGTTCGATTTTAAATTCACGCGTATGCCGGATTTCAAATCAAATTGCTTTCCACTCAGTTCAATTAGCATTACTAATCACTTTCCTCGTTTTGGCTGCTTTTAAAAGAGGCGCAATGGGAGATAAAAATGGCACTCTAGATATATATATTGTTGTGATTGGCAAAAAAAATTCTCTCTCTTAAGGTCTGTCCGACATCGCAAGGATGCTACTTTGCAGCTGGGGGGGGGG